CAGAAATATGTATATTTCTAATGAAGTTATACTACACCTCAGAGCTGTGAAGTTATCCATTCTTATTTATACTTTTTTCTATAGATAACTCTGTGATATATAAACTCATATTCAGAGACACTTGGGACACCTTAAACAGAGAGTCAGACTGGCATCTCACTCATCAGCCAATCACTGTTGGCTGCAGTGCAAGACAACTCGAGGTGATTGGCTGACTGCGTGAGATGCTGGACCAGCTCTCCATTTAAAGTGTCCCAAGTGTCAGTGAATATAAGCTATATTAGCACGGTGTGTAAAGAGGCATATTGGAAGAGGAAAAGATGGAGGGTGGATTTCACAGGATGAAATATACCCAATAGTACTAGAATTACAATTTCACATGCATTACATTCCATTCACAAAAAGAGACTGGAAACATGACCATATGACTGACTCGGGGAAAGGAGGGCCTTCAAAGGTAATTGAGGTGTGGGGATCTACCATAGGAATGTTAATACGAGTTTTTAAACAAATATATGAAGTAATTAAGTAAATCATAGATGGAAGCGTCTATGAAAAGTTGTTGATGGTTGATTTATGTGAAGGGGAATTGATGTGGATAATGATAAAAAAAATTAATTATTTAAAAACTAGCAGCACGCAGAGAGCACATACCTCTGCCAAGGCAATATGGTCACTAATGCAAGAAAAAGACACCTCTGGTAGAAATATAAAAAAATAATCACAACTTTTTTAGTTATCCTCCTATCTGATCAATCAATGAATAAACAAACAAAAATTCCTAGATCTAGATCATGATCCGGATCACCACCAAAATTTAATGGCACACCTCTGGTAAAAATTTCATAAAATTTTGTACTTTTTGAGTTATCCTGCTAACCAACCAACAAACTAACTAATCAACACTATGCTTGGTAGAGGTGGTAAAGGTTGCCTTGTGACTGTAATTTGAATATACACTAGTCGTAGTAAATGTGGCCTCAGAAAGAACTTTCAAAATGTGAATGAAAAGAAAATATGATTTTCTAGTCTACAAATTATATACTGAGTATCAAAGTATTTATCCAGTGACTTGCATAGTAAGATTAATTCTTTTAAAATTATCCCTTTTTATTTAGCCTTTTATTCTCAGATGTTAGGTGAGGTTGTGGACATTGATCAGTCAAGTGGCAAGGTCTGGTTGTTTGTTTGTGGTCATGCTAGCAGTTCTTATTCTGCTGTCCTTTGAGAATAGGGCAAAATGTAGTTGTATATTTATTGGGAAAAGGCATCTTATATTTCTTGAACTCTGGATGAAGAAAATGTATAGATAATTCATGCATCTTTTAAAGGAAGTCTTTCATGATCACAAAATGATAGTCAAAATATTTGCAGTAATGTACTTTCTGGCACCCCCTCCCTCTCCATTTCTACAATCCTTCCTATTCATCTATAACTGGTGTACACAGAGCTAACCAGACCTTATGGAACTCCAGACTTGTTCTATGTTTTCTCTTGTTAATTACCAAGATATAAAAGCTTTTCTTGCCTTTTTCATCCCTACCATAAGATGATGACTGTGTGTAATAAAGATATGTGTGTGTAGATTTGTTGCACAGATATGTAAGCAGCAAGGGATGAGAGTCATTTCATATTATTTATTCACAGATAGCAGTGACTTTTGATATTTTACTAAAGCATAGCATATTTTCAGGGTGTGCAGAGGCTATCTGAATGGGTGACTCTCAGGAAAATTGACTTTAAAAAGGACTTAGAAAGTGATGAAGATTTTACTAAGTAAGTAATCATTTATATTCATATCAGAGTGTGAATTGTGGTCATATGGAAAAGTTCTTCTTGAAAGCAGTATATTCTTTCTTTCATTCCTCCATTTTCCTTCTACAGGTTATTGAAGATATTAGAGAAAGGCATACCTCAATTGAGTCCAAGTGCCCTGCTGGATGGTCTCAAGAGTCTATTAAACCTTGGGATTGATAGTAACAGCTATTTAATTCAGGTATGGCAAAACTTTAATGGAAACACATTTCTCTCTGTGGTGGTTATTGTATTATGATTAGTATATTTTAATGTGTTCTGTTCTGTATATCATTATGCTTTAAGATCGTGTTTATTGCTTTCTTGTTTTTATATTTTTTATGCCGTGTATTTTGTTGTCCTCCTAAATTCAATATCTATTAGGATGTTAAGATTATATGAATATAAGGTGGATTTGATTGCCATTTCCTCATTTTTAACTGCATTTCATCAAAAGGTCATAACTGTCAAATTATCTGGAGCTAGTATTCATTCATATTATATGTTATTCTGCTATGTACCAATAGTCTCTCTTTTTTTCTATGAGTTGTGTTTTAACATGATCCTGGGATCCTGGACTAGCTATAGTGGTTTTCTTTTATTAGTATTTTCAGTCAATCACTAAGCTCTATAAGTATTTGGTCACTATTTACTATTTATTGTGAAATTCTGTAGCTTTTTTATTGCAGTCAAAACTATTACTGTTATTATTACCATTACTATAACTTCAGTTATTATTATTATTATTATTAAGAAAATCAAGGAATAGGGTAAAAGATCAAACCTAATAGGTCTTGCAATTGACTCCTTGGTTACTAAGCACTTATGGATCCATCTGTATGTGAAGATAAATAAGTAAATGTAGAAAATAAATAAATAAATAAATAACAGATATGAATAAATTGATTAAACAAAACTATAATGGACTGTACAGTACTTCTTTTCCTGGCATCAATGGGTTATATATTTGTATATAAGTACTCTTCATACAAATGACAATTTTTCTGTACAGTCAAGTTGAATTCTAAGTCAAACATTGTAATAATTTGTGGGATTACAATAATTGGAGGAACTTCTAGGAGAAATTTAGCTACATGTAATCACAAAAAAGTTATAATCCCAAAATTCTGTTTTTGAACGAGGCCCATATCCTACACTATATGATCTTTCAGTGTATGGAAATGGCGTTGTGTAGGAACCTCGGTAGGCGGTGGGTAATATTCTTCCCTTCTTCTTCCTCGCAGTCTCTGGAGAATGAAGTGCTGTGGAATGTACGAAAGGTGTCTATGCCTCTCCTTCTTTCCATCGTGGTCTTCCAAGCGAAGCATCAACATACAGACTTGCAGAGGAAGGTGAGATACTGCACTAAGATATACCAAATTAAATAAGTTCTACTTAGCTAGGTAGCAGAACTAGTGGTTAATGTGTTTCCAGATTAATTTCTTACAGTGATAATGTCACTTAAACTTATTTTACAAATATGTCCAAAAAGTCAGAGTTCTAGGAAATGAAATATAATGTTCAGTAACCTTACAGATCTTTCACCTTATTATATAAAAAATCAGCCTTTAATCTCTTCCAACCTGATTATGCTTTACTCACTATGAATTAAGATATTAAATTTGGGCCAATCTGCTTCCTGCAATGTAACAATGTTGATGCCCTGCCTTGACAACTTGTTAGTTCATAACAGCTTGACTCTTATCCAACCCTTGATGTAAGGGGTACTATATATTTTATCAGCACTTAACAATTTTCTGTTTTTTTATAGTTTTAATACTAATGATTTAATAAAATTAACAAGACTCATTATCATAACTGTGGATGGGTAAATTGTATGCTGTGGCCATTGATAGAGAAAAATAATCCTGTTCAAATGTAGTAAAGCTGTGAGCAAAATCCAAAATTGTACAAAACAGAAGTGTCTAAAACTATGAGGGATACAGAATAACTAGTCTGTAGAAATAAAGGACCATAGAAAAAAAAAAAAAATGTAGATCTGTTGTGTTTCAGTTATATGGTTTTGGTGAAAAGCACTTCATATATACTTAGCCTGATATGCATTGTAATTATATCATATATCTAATATAATCATAATGTACCTAAAATTAAAAAAAAATCTTGTTTTGATTTACTTGAATTAATTTGTATAAACCTGGTGGCAAGTTTGTGTGGACAAGCATTTATACAGTCTGAATTTAGGTTTGATTACTTAGTCTCAGCATAATTTGAGAAACTGTACTGGTTTGTTTGGCAGATCAGTAATCTTAACCCATTGACAACAATATTAACCCAGTGCTGACAGGTAAAGATATTTGGCAAGTGGATGTAAGAATGGGATTGTTGGTGCGCATTGGCAGTTTCCCGTTTGCGCCTGGCTTGATCGGTAGTTTGCGAGTGACATTTATCACCTAAAAGCTTTTATTTCGCTATAATTTATAAAAATATGAAAATTTTGAAGGTTTACCTTTATTATAGGTGCCATTGCCTGAAATCTTTACCATATAAATGAAGCCGCTACTATCGGAGAAAAACAAACTCCGTCCACAACAGCCATCGCATGTACGTACATGCCACCCATTGGCTAGGGGTTAAAAACTGGCTATTGGTCTGTAATGTGGGCTTATCAGTTCCATTTAAGGCTCTGGGAAAGTAAAATGAGTCAGCATCCAAAATTTAATTAGTTTCATGCTTTGACAAGAGATTGATATATATACAGTATGTGGGAAGATAGGATCCAGATTAGAAAGGACCTTGTATTAAATTATATCAGTCAAGGGTATTTTTACATATATACTGAATGAGTGACAGGAGCAGATTTGCATGATTTTAACAATTTGGTTATTTATTTTCTGTATGCTCACATCATTTCATATGTTATTGGACTGTCTGATTAAAGACGTATTTCTGATAACCCACTGATGCAGGGATAGCAGAAATATATGCCATGGCCACTGTGTATTTTTGTTTATTGTTTATCTTTTCACCCTTAGATCCAGGTGACGTGACCATCACGTCATGAAATAATTTGACTTGAGGGGCGGAAGGGGATTAGACTCATTTTGGTGTCTAGAAAGGGGATTTTGCTTTATTCCCATTGATAAACGAGTGTTTAATGGAATGTCTATAAGCCATGACCGGATGAGCTGATGTGACCAGCAGCTCTGGTTGTATTAAAGAAAATTGAATATTACAAAGAAAAAGACAGTTAATAAATGTCACTTTAATTTTTTCAATTTTTTTATGTGCTGAATTATTTACCACATAGAGAGATGATATGGAGTCTTCGCAAGGAAAACATTAGACATTGGAAAATGGCAAAAAAGCTAAAAACATTTATGCAAAATAACTTTGCAAAGGGGAGGCATAGAGAGTCTAGTCACTAAGCACGGGTGTTTGGTTACACGTCACACACCTGGCAGAGTGGCCACTTGTGTAAGCCAAATGCCTGTATTTTGGTCCATGGGATTGCTGTGAAGCAGCCAGATTAAAGTTAATGCTCTAGGCACCACATGAAAGCAGATATGTTTTCCACCTGCAATGAATTTGGCTGCAACACATGATTTTCCAGTGAATTAAGCTAAAAAGTGACTGTAAGCCTATTTTGGGGGACTGTAGCTCCCCAGTTACTTCAGTAATGGCCAAGCAAGTGTGCACAATTGACGGTGGGCTCGGGGTACATAGTATTTGGTATACATGCCACCTGGAGTTTAATCAACATCCAAGAGCTTATGCACTTTTGGTGAGTCATTCCCATCACCTTAGCCTTCAGCCAAAATTCACATGACAGCCAAATTTTTCCATAAAAGTATATTGATGTTGCTTGGCCCTCAAGCCACATTTTTTCATGATGTAATGGTCAAATCTCCTGGATCCAGGGGTTTAAACAAACCCTTATCTTTCTTTATCATTTGAAGAGATATGAAAAACATTTTTTTCTTTCTTTCAAAATCAACAAGAATGTTCGTTCAGTGTCTAAGGTAAAACGGAATGTCTACTGAGATAAGAAACATAAACAAACATACAAAATATAGTAACTGTCCTTGCCATTTGATGTTATGATGCCAACAGGTTACATCTATCACTTTCTTGGCTGTATCAAATATTTGATAAAAATAAATATATATGTAGAAAGTAAGAAATGGCGGGGTTGCTTTTTATGTTTTGTAAAGTTCCTTTGATAAGTGTTTGTGTTGCTGATTCAGAAAATAACACCAATCATCTCACTTCTGTAAGCAAGATATTTAAACAGAAGCGCTGTCAAATTCTGTGCATGTTATACTTGTATACTTTTGTTATTTATTTTTTGTTTATTCATTTTGCTAACATCTTGTATGTTGTAGTTTATTTCATTTTTGGTGAGTGCCATAATTAAGTAGTTTTAAGAGATGTATTTCAATATTAATTACAAAACAGTTATTTTAATATGGTTAAAACTAAAATGTCTTATTTTGCTTGTTTCATATTCCTTTGTAAATATCTATGTGTCAGTTAATAAATTTCATTATTGCAGGTACTCAGGGAATCTGTAGAGACAGTTCAAAGACGATGGGTTGAAGTCAGGGGAGTAAAGGACATCCAGGTGATCTATAACCACCATGGGGTCTTCAACTTGGAATTCATAAGCCGCATTGATGACAGAACCATTGAATTAGCAGAAGAGATGTCTTACACCGATCTGAGCCGGCTCTTATGCACCCTTGCCACAGTCAAGCGAAGAGTAACACCTGTGCTACGCTCCCTGGCGTTCCACATGGCGAGACAGAGTGATCGACTGCCTCCCAAGCAGCTGTCCAATGTACTTTATGCTATGAACTCTCTAAGCTTCCCAGACCCCCTTCTGTTAGAGAAGATTGCAAATGATTTTGTGTCACAGGGTAATGCTATTGACAAACCTACAGTAGTAGGGGGTATTCTGACCTGCATGGGACAGATGAGATGGAGGAACACAAGTATGTTGGAAATTTTATCAGAGTGGGTAGAAAACCATGTCAATATTTGCCGCACAAGTGACATTGCTGCCATGGTCCTGACTTTGGCCTCGGTTTCATATACACCCACTAACATTGACTCCTTATTCAAAGCAATTATTCCTAAACTGACATCAGTGACAATTAACAGGGAGACTGCTTGGTTAGATGTGGTATGGTCATTATCAGTGCTTGGGAAAGCTACAGAGGAGCATATTGCTTCTGTTTTAAATCCATCATTTGTTTCAAAAATTCCAAGTGCTGCCCAACATCAGAGGACAGGGATAAAGTTGAAATTGCTTAATATAAATGCTGTGGCCAGACTGAGCATGCCTGCATACAAGGGACCTTTTCTTGACCTTTCAGACTTTAAAGACGTCATAATTACTCAGGGAAGACATGAGCTAATGTTGGCTAAACATGTTCAGACAATGCTTCACAATTTCCTCCCGCCCCCAAAATATATAAGGGAAAACATACAAACAAACATGGGTATATTTGTGGATGCAGAGCTATCTGTTGGGAAAGACGGAAAACCTATCCCAATTGAAGACTTTACTACAAATTTTGGTGAAAAGGAAAGTTCAAAGCAACTTCCAGAAGGTGCACAAAAGTTAGCCATGTTTATATGGGATTACAGAGACTACACAATAGGCTCTCAGGAGCTCACAGGCATCAACAGATTAGCCATGGAACTGGTTAGAAAACATGACTATAAGATTGTACAAATACCATACTATGAATACAACATGAAGGCAAAGACCATCAAGAATGTACAGTATCTAGAAAGCAAGACAAAGGAAGCAGTTAGTACTTCATAATATGTATTCATTGTTATCTGATGTAAATATAATTTTAAATATTTGTAATTATTGGTATTTAAACATCTGAGTCATATGTGTTTTCTAATAAACATCGATAAAAAAATTCAAAGGTGTTTTTTATACCAGCCTATATTTTTGGACGTCTTAATTCCACATTTTTTTTTGTTTTATTTTGGTGTGATTTTACCATACAATAGGATTTAATAAACAAAGATTGGATATGCTAGTGATAAAAACTGAAAAGCAATATCTCCAGTGTGTCTAACATTATTTTATGTTTACATGTTACTTTTTTCTGATTTGCATTTTTAATATCCATGTGTAGACTGTATGAAACTAGTCTGTTCATATGAATATTTCTTTTGTGAAAAAAAAGAAAGAATGAAAGAAAAAAAGAGGAGCTTTTGTTTCATCCAAAATTATATGGAAGAGATTAGGGTATATTGTCATTATACATAACAGCTATATACCAATCCGTCCACATTTGCTTCTAATTTAAGATTTGGAAAGAAAGAAAGAAAAAAAAGTGTAAAGACATTTGTTCAGTTCAATTCTCGAGTTTGATATTGGTCAGTGTAGTGGCTGTAGCTCCCAAAGAGAACTAAATCTAAACAGGAAAAAAACCCTGAATACATTTGTTCTTTTTAAAGGTTGATTTATAATCAATTTATATATATTTTTTAACTCTTTAATGAACTGTAGTCATTTTTATGAAAATACAATTATATTTATTTTTTCTATAAAGTATAACAAGAACTGATAAACCTAAAGCCCCTTATCCCTACTTCTTTTCTGCCCCCTCTTCTGGCTTCACTTTCTTGAGAAGCTGAAAAGAGAAGTAAATATCTTTAGGAAACAACAAATACTTTCCTTCTGTTTTGGTAATTCACAAAAATATATATATATTACAGGTAACATTATATCAGTAATGATGTAAAGGAAACATATGAATCAAATTTACCTTGAAGTTCTGAGGAGCCTTCGATGCTCGTTGTTGCATTTCCTGCTCAATATTTGCATTAATAGCCTTTTGCAACTGCTTCTGGACAAGCTTAGCTTCAACAGCCTTTGTCTTTTTGGGGGCAATGGTGCGAACTGAAATTAAAAGGATAGGAAACTTTTAGCACTACAGAATATATCCCAATGTTATTTATTAATTTCCAAATAATCCTATTAATATAAGAACACTTTAGGTCTATTCAGTGTCTGCTTGTGAACATCTTCCCTGGGTTTATCCTTTACATTTTTTTTCTGATTAAGCTTGGTAATCTAATCATACAGCACTATTACTATGAGATGTTTATAGCTTTCACGTTACTGATACAAACTGAATAAATGAAAAGAGAAAGTTTTACATAAACAATTACTTGACTTTCATTCTTTCCATTATTAACTATAAGTGTTTCAGTCTCCTGGAAACTCCTTAAGAAAATTCTGCGCATATAGTCAATAGATTTCCATGATAGTTACTGTTCCTATGATGTATTCTCTAGTAAACTGACATATACCTATGGACTATCAGTAACCTAAGACCATAGGTTTGATACTATAAGACTATGAACTATCAGACTGTTGCTGGGATCCTTTGAAACTAAGAAGTTCATTCTTTATTACACACTGACCCACTAGATTAATAGATATTAAAAATCAATTTTGCTACTTCAACATCTTTTAGCAGACAAAAATTATTATCTAATCCAAACCATTTAGCACAAAAATGATAAAGAAACCCATTTTTCCCCCCTAACAAACAATTTAATGAAGAAATTCATTATTTTTATAAGCCCTCAAGCTATTAGTAAGTATTTAGTAAACAAAAGGGACAGTAGACAGCTGACATCATATATTTTGTCAAAGAGCATAAAGTAAAGCATGAACGCATGTTTCTTTAGCATTCATGATTCAAACACGTTTGATTTCTTGGCTATAACACTACCATGTGGCTTAACTTTTGGGAGGATATGTCACTTTAATAAAAAACGTGTTTACCCATTTCAACCACTAAGTTTGTTAATTGAGATACTAATAGTAATGAAAGATAATTCCTTTGTCAAAGAAATCAGCAAGTCTTAATCTTATATCAAACACAAAAGGGTGATTTTAATCTGTACCAAGACTATATAACAATAAATCCTTAAATAGGCCTACAAGAATATGCATGGCGGAGGTCTACTGCTCTTTATTAAAACATAGCAGGTGAACAAGTTAGCACAAAGTCATGTATATATTATCCATGAAGGACAGCTAAGCTTCCTTGTAAATAAAGTATAAAAAAAAAACTGCATCACAAATTTGCTATTGAAAGATTCCATTTGACCTATACTACCCATATAAAATAGTCCACAGATTGGGCCTAAACTGTAGGGTGGGTATAAAATGTGACAAGAAATTGGTGGTAAAACTGTTAACAAT